AAGTTCTGCGAACACTCATGCTGGGCAGCTCCAGACAGAATCATCTGCTTCCAACTTTCTCTAAGTCCACGCAGCGAGGAGTGGTGTTCTTAACCAAGGTTGAGAATCCACTGGCTCGAGGAACAGACTTGAGCACTATTCTAGGGCCTGGAGATAGAGCATTGGGGGAACAAGGCCCCATCACCAGCCTGCTGGGCACTGACACTCTAGACAGGCCCAGCATCCGGGGGCAGCCCATAAACACCTACTTGAGGCAGGGGGTGGGGGAGATGTACCTGGAGCAACACTGAGTCATCTGTGACCCACTGTGAACTCCGAGGTGGGGGTGGGACACCCTGAGGTACTGGGGATTGGAGAAGATCAGGTCTTCAAGTCACCACCACCGTCAACTATGTGCTGGGGGTTGGTTTAAGTGCACAACACATGCTAGCATTTAGCCTCTGTCTGCTCTGTTTTCTGATGTGGCCAAGGGCCCAGAACAGAGCCCTTGACACATGAAGGTGCTATTTGCAGAATGAATGGATTGCACCCTCACAGTAAAGCTTGTGCCTTGAATAGCCTGTTAATAAAGATGCTCATCTGAGGCCCAGAGAGAAATCTTTTCCCTAAGGACTCACAGCCAGTGAAGGCTCAGGCTGGTGTGATTTGGGAAGCCCCTGGGTTCACACCCATTTTTGCTTGCTATTGCAGCTATAACAAATCACCAGCAACTTAGTGGCTCAAAACAATTCAGTTGTCTTTCAGCTGAGGCTGGAAACCTAAAACCAAAGTGTCAGGCAGCTCATGTTCCTTCTTGGAGCTCTGGTGAAGAAGTAGTTTCCTTCCTTTTCCGCCTCCAAAGGCTGCCCTGACCCTCAGGCGCCTGCTCCCTGCTGTCCGCTCTGTGACTACATTGAGCCCATCCGGATGATCCAGGCTACTCTTTCCATCTCAAGAGCTTTAACTTAATCAAAGCTGGAAGTAACCTCTCCTATTAAGTCACCAGGTCATAGTTCACAGGGGATCTGGATGTGGGCATCTTGGGGTGAGGATGGTTCAGTTTACTACACCTATTTGACTGCTTTTCCTACCCTGGATTTTTATTTTCCTTAGACATGATGTTAAGGACATGGACAGGCCTAGGTGCATGAAAAATAAAAAAAAAACAAACAAACAAACAAAAACGTGGCCTCTGCTCCAGCAAAGAAGAGAGTCAGGAAAAGGGACAACAGCAAACTTTATTAGAGATCACTGGCAAGTGTGCGCAGAAATAATGAAACTTCAGAGGAAGGAGAAAGGGAATAGAATGTGGGGATGGCAAGGAGGTCTGAACCTCATCTATAGAGTTCGTTTTCTTTCTGATTTCTGCTTTAGTGAAGGAAATACGCAAAAATGGTAGCTTTTGTGTAGCAGGAAATAGAGGTTTGTTCTGTATTTATGTTTGTCCAGTACTTACTGCATTAAAAAACAACAACCCTGAAATAGTCTACCTAGTGGAACTCTGGGTCTTGGGACGCTGAGGCAGGTGGCTCTGGCTGGGGCAGTGGAGATGGGTTCCTTACCCTCTCCGAGGCATAAGCTCGGAAGGAGGGAACCCACACAAGCAAGTGATCTGTTAACAGCTCGATGATTTCCCTTCCTGGACCCTAGATTCTTACAGGCCATGGGACATCCTAGGTCTGCAGCGGTAACCTGAGGTAGGGTGGACAGTCAAGAGGACAGGGACCCCAGCCAGGTCCAGAGCACACCGGGGCTCCCCGCGGCCCCTAGGGGGCCGTAGTAATACACCATGTCCATGCAAACAGCAAATGCACACTTACGTGAGGGCTGAATGTTAATGTTTATCAACTGGAAACTTCTTTCCTTTAAACGCAGCCTCCAAACAGTAGCTGTTATTGCCGACCACAGCAGCATCCGGAACTCAGAGGCGAGCAAGGAAGCTAGGGGTTAATTTGTACGAAACACAGGAGGCCCCGCCCATACCATGTCGGGCCTGCGCATATCTATAAAGGTGGAGCTCCCGGGCGTAGGGAGCTACGTCATTAGACTAATATAGCATGAGTGGAGAGGCTTGCGAGCGGGAGGTAGCGTGGCCGAGTGGTCTAAGGCGCTGGATTTAGGCTCCAGTCATTTCGATGGCGTGGGTTCGAATCCCACCGCTGCCACACCGTAAATGGGCTCACTTTTCTACCCTCGGCTTTCTTTAAACGTCGTTTTTTACATCTTGTCTTCCTTTTTATCTCCTTTCTGATTCTGTTTCTTTCTTTTTTAATGGAATGGGGAGGGAGGGAAAAGGAAGGAACGTCCGCGCAGGCTATTTGACTTTTCAGCCTAGTACGCAAATACACAATACTGTTAAGTACAATAAAGAAACAAAAACTCCCTATTGACAGAGAAACAAATGAGATACCTTGAACAGGCTACCTGCACCTTTAATTTAGAAGAACTTTGAGATCTGAAGTCACTGGGAATGGACCTGTTTACCTCCCAAAGGCAAAGGTTAGGTGGGAGTGATTTTAATCATGATCTGAGGGAGGGTCCCTTTCTGACCTAATGTGTCCTGCAGAGTTTTGTCTGACTTCTTAAACTTGTGTTGCTGGAAGCTGTCTCAGAGGACCCAATGGAAGAACTGGGGCATCAGGACCAATCAAGGACTGGGTCCTCCCACAGGTAGGGTTATCAACCTTGAGGACCAGCTTCACAGGTCCACCTCCTATTAGGTCTTCAGTTTGATCTACGGGGTCCCTTGTGTATTTGTGAAGTTCCTCCTGAGGCTATAGAGCAAAGGGGGCAGCAGTGTCTTCACACTCAAACATCCTAATTTCATTAATTGCACCCCTAAAGATGGTTAATGCTTCTGCTCCAAGTAAGCAAAACCTCATGGAGGGCTAGTTATCTGGTTGCCTTTAAATTCCTAATGGGGACTCAGTGGTCTGTCGGGTATAGTACCACTTCCTTTTCCTTTGTGTAAAGACATTTGAAAGGGAGAAAGTTTCTGGACTTAGTGATCTGTGTTGCCCCCTGTCCAATTCCTTCCCCGTCCTACCCCTATGTCTAGGTTTAGATAATCCTCTTTCAGAGCCTCAGGGCTAAGATGATTTAGAAAATCTAGAAAACAAAGAAATTGACTTGTCTTTTGGATTTTAAAAGTTGAGGTTTGTCAACAGACAAAAGATCTAGAAGAATGAAAGCCTGTTTCTCCTGCCCTAAGAACATATTTCTCAGGATTGAGAGAGAGGAAAATCAAAGGGGAGTTCAGAAGCAAGTATGTTACTGAGAAGGAGCCCAAGGTCTGTGGATCTGACAACATCCCAGTGTTCTAGCCAAGTGGCCAAGGTGCGGAAGAACAGAAATAAAATGGGTCTGGGGCAGTTTCTCCAAATGGGTGAAGTAACTCATTCTCCTTCAGCCTTTGAGGTTGAGACACAACCCACCCGTTTTCTTGTTCATAAAAGGAGAACAATAAACCGTACATAGGAGTAACCCCCAAAACAAAGTAAGACCATATAAAGTCCCATTCAAAATGTCAGACATTAAATAGGCATAAAGGATTATTATTGCTCTTAAAAAGTACATACACACATGCAAAGAGGAACTAACTGTTCAGCTGCTTCACAGGTTTTTCCCTTGTTTTGCAGACACACCCCTAATGCCCACAATCTGAGGACAGCCACCTAGGCTGAATCACTGACCCGTTCCCTCAACCCACCACAGGCTTCTGCAGGCTTATGATTTTCTCTGCTTGTGGATTAATTGGCCAGTTCAGTGAGTGCACACGGTGACAGCCTAGGTGGACACATTTACATGAGGATGCCGCGAATCCACTACCAATACCAAGAAGGGAGCCAGGCATAGGTCTGCGTAGAGCAGGGGTGGATTAAGAAATTTTATGAGTTTAAACATTTGAGACATGGGGCTCCCTGGTGCAAGGGTTAGTAAGTCTCAGCACTATGAAACTCTGCAGCCACTGCAGCAGGAATTCAATCCCGGGCCAGGGAGCTGACCCACAGGGCCAGCAGACCTCTCCTGTCTCCCCCACCGCTTCCCCTCAGCAGCTTATTTCAGTAGATCTGTCTCATTTGCTCCTCACTCTGTCTCTGGTGAACCCTCTCACCCCACTCCCACCTCTGGCCATACATAAATCTTTTTAAAAAATACACATTAAGGGCATGGTGACGGCCATGGTTTCCTGCATAAACAGAGAGGCAACAGTAAAACATAAAATATGCCTTAAGTTCTAATTCTTCCCATTATAGCTACACTGGTACTTAAAAAAAAAAAAAAAAGCCTAGTTTCTTAAAAGGCTTTCCTCTTTTTTCCCCTTTGATATCGAGGTTGGTACCGGACACTGTGCCCGCTATGCTGAGTCATCCCAAGACGCGGAAACCGGAAACCCCAAAAGGCCACGCTGGGCAAGGCAGCTTGGGTCCCTCAACACTGGCCACCGGAGAGTGAGCCATCCCGGAACGTTAGGGCAGGAGCGGATCAAAAGCAACCCTCCTAGAATGGTTCTAATCCAAGACCCCCAGAAGCTCGGTCAGCGACGACGTTGCGGGGGAGCGGGGTCGGGGGGGGGGGGGGAGCCAGCAGCAGACATCCAGAGCGCTGCTCAGCACGCGCCGACCCTAACCGGAGTCCAGGGGGCGTGGTCAGGGGCGTGGCCAAGGAGGGGCGGGGTCAACACGTACAGGGGCGGGGCCAATTCCCGGAAGAGAGACCTAGAGGTACCTGCAGGACCAGAGGCTGGGTGGAGCCGGAGTGGGGAGAATCCGGAGTCGGGGAGAGTCAGGGGCCGGGCCGGGGAGAAGGCTCAGAAGGCGGAGCAGGCTTGTCAATAACCCGGCAGTCCGGAGGAGAGCGAGGCAAGGCCAGGACTCGGAGGGCGGGTCAGGGGCGGGGCCGGGACTCGCCGGGCTGCAAGTCTGGAGGACTGGACAGGGGCTGGGGCGAGTCCCAGGGTCAGGGGCAAGGGCGGCTGATCAGAGCAAGGACGGCTCCAGGCCGAGGAAGCGTAGGGCCAGGGCGAGCAGGCCTAGGAGCAGCAGCAGGGCGAGCAGCAGCCGCAGGAGCGTCCGCGCCGCGGAGCCACGGCGCCGTCCGGCAGTGGACTGCACGTACCGCTCCACCGCGTCGGCGAAGCTGAACTTGTCCGGCGCGTAGCCGAGCTGGGCCCGCGCCTTGGCGATGCGGAAGGTGTGCGTCACGGCCACGCTGCGCACCTGCGGGGAGGAGGCGGGACTGGTGGGGGTGGGAGGCCCCTCACCTTTTCTCTGGGAATGGGGAGAAGGCAGGGCTTTCCCTTCCAGCGCAGGGCGATTTAAAAGACCCCCTGGGCTGGGTCTTGCTCCTGCAGGCCTCTTCAGGGAAGACTCCCGTCCTCCTCCGTGTCCCTTTTCTTTAGCCCCCCCCCCTCCGCAGGACGCCTTTCCTGCAGTTCCCTCACCCTGCTGCACTCCTCAGAGAACCGTCTGTGCGTCCCCTTTCCAGGCCTAGGACTTGGGCCGCCCTTGATACATTCTTAGGTGTCCGGTTTGTAGTCTGGATCGAGTGTTCTGGGTGGGGGTAATGCCTCCTAGAAAGGCTCACAGCTTCCCGCCCAGATCCAGACTGGCCAGGCGGGCCCCAGGGCCGGCCTCAGCCCTGGTTGATTCACTAAGTTTCCCTACCCGAGGAGGAATTCAGTTATGCAGAAGGAATTACTCTCCAAGGCTTCTGCTAGATTTCTTGGGGGAAGGGGGCACAGCTGTCAATTGCAGAACTCACACTGTAACTAGCCTGCGCTGAATCTTTCTAGGCCTGTCTCATTTAGTTCTCTGAGAGCACTGCTTCTTCTGTACATGTTTGAAAGTTGAAGACCAAAAAGGTTAAGTGACTCCCCCCACCACCCCCCAGTCCAGCCCACCATCTTCCCTGCTATGCTAAGTTGACTAGGAAGATGCCTGTCCTCTGAATCCTCAGCTGTACATTGGGAAAGAGTCCACAAGCTGCCTGATTCTCTCATGGCATTGAAACACCACTGGGGTTAGGCCCCTTGTCCTGAGTTCTTGGGGGGGTGTGGTGAGAGAGATCAATTCTTGCTCATTTTTGGCCTAGCTAGTAGGATCAAAGCTTTGGGAGGATACACCTGTGAACCAGATAAGCAAATCCTGGCACACATTGTTACCACACTTCAGGTTGACATGTCATCCCTTTTGGAAGGGCTCTCGACTGCCAGAGAACTGACTTTGGTGTCGATGGCTCTCAAGTTCTTCCTAATTCCCCCAGAATAGCCCTATCACGGTGTGTTGAGCCTCATTACTGGTTGCCTTTTCCCTGTGGACTGTGAGTAACTTGGAGTAGATGCTCTTTTGCTTCTATTGTTTAGCAAAGTGGCTGGACACGCAGTAGGTGCTTCACACAAGTTGAATGAAAGAAAGAAGCCGTCAAGTCAAACGAGAGGGCTGGCTGCTATGTCACAGACTGGCCAGCAGAGGGCACCCAAGTCACAGCGCCCAGAAACGAACCCGGTTAACTAGGAGTCCTCTGCACAGAACTGAACTAGTCTGAGTGCAAGGTAGCTCCCCCCCCCACCACTCATCCCCACGGTGGTGGCTGTTTTACATGATCCGATTTCCAAAGCATTGCATAAGCTAAGTGGTTAGGAAATGATTGGGACCTGGTCTGAATTGGAATCAGCGATGCAACCGAAGTGCATTTCCTTCTCTGAAAGTGGAGATAAGAGAAGGCACAATTTAGAGTAGAAGTGAAGATGAAACGAGATAAAGCACAGCGGCTGCCATATGGTCACCACTCATCATTCCCTTCCCTCTGCTGGTCTGGATGGTTTAAATGGGGACTCCTGGGACTTGCTCCCCCCATTCTCCATTTCCCTAGCTAGAGAGCACTGGAGCTTGGAGGGTGAAGTCAGTTCCAAAAGAGTGTGATCTTGGACAGATCACTTAACTCCTTAGTGCCCAGCCTCTCATCCTAAAATGAGATCCTCATCTTTTGCACCTCCTAATTTATGAATCAAATGAGAGAGTAGACTGGAAGGATTTGGCAAATAACACCAGGCACCACTTGTTTTACTGGTTACAACCTACATTAAAACATCCTCTCTTTGCACATGCAGGGGTGAGGTTGGGAGCAATGGGTGGGGGTGTCCAATGGACGGTAGTAGAGAGTTATTGGGGGTCATAGAGTGGTGACATATATTTGAAGAGGTAAGAGGCAGTGCCCCTGAAACATACAATGACATAAACCTCACCAAAGCAAAACAGGGCCCTCTCTGGTGGCTCAGTGGGTTCTATATAGCGCAGCACTGCAGGCGAGCAGTCCCTGCAGTGCGAGTTTGATCCCTGGTCCCAGAGGAGCCAGCACCAGATCTGGGGGCGCTGAGGTCCTGAGGCCTCAGACAGGCATCGACAGGCATCGAGATATGGTTGAAAGGAGGAGGGCTGGTGGCAGGGCGGGGCTGGAGCAGGGTGGGCAGGGAGGAGAGGGTGCTGCTTGCAGGGGCCCCCAGCCGCCCCGACTTACCTCGCTCCGGGTGAGCAGTGGTGGGATGCTGCAGAGGGGCCTCAGGGCCAGGTGCAGATACTCCATCACGGCAGCTGCGGGAGAGGGGGGCCAGTGACGGGGTGCCTCACCCAGGCCCTGGGCAGGGGCCCCCTGGAGGGAGCCCTTGGGGCATTATGTGCTTTGCCAGGGGAGTCTTCACTTTGCCCAAACATCCTGGCCTTGGATTTCTTTAAATCAGCAAGCTCTCAGTACGCTCGAGGGTGTGGGGGCAGGTTGGCGGGCTGTGAAATGTGTCCCAAGTCAGGACTGGTGTTTTAAAATAAATCTGAACACATTCAAGCTCATCTCCATAATCGTGCTCCTCTCGCTCCTCTCGCCCTCTCTTCTACCCCACTCTGCTCTCTCGGGTAGAAGGACTGGAGGGTGGCTCTCAGGCTGGGCTGCCCACTGACCACTTTAAGAAGTGCTGATGCAGGGCCCTCCCTGGTGGCGCAACGGGTTCAAGCTCAGCACTGGGAAGCTGGCCACAGCCTGAGTTCAATACTTGGCCAGGGAGCTGACCCACAGGGCGCAGCAGACCCTCGCCCCCTGCCCGCTCCCCTCAGCAGTGTACTTTGCTGTCGGCCTGTTCTGCCCCCCACTCTGTCTCTAGTGAGTCCTCTCACCCCCTGCACCTCTGGCCTTTGCCCAGTTCTGTGCATAAATAAAAAAACTCTTAAAAAAAAAAAAAAGTGCTGATGCTTCCCGGCCCCCAGTGGTGCTTCCCGCTGGCACAGTTTTCTGTATTTGAAAAATTCCCAGAAAAGTCTCCTGGGCAGCCAGGTTAAGGACCGGGGAGTTTGTTAGCTCACTGGGAACTGGACATTTGCACATAAGCCTGAGGCTGCTCTTTACTCAGCTGGGGATCAAGGAGCGTGAATCACGGGGCGAAGCTGCGCGGAGCCTCCATGGTGGAACCCCTGCTTGAAACGGCAAGCGTAGGTCCAGCTCTTTGTGACTTGAGGTCACTCCAGGTCTGATGTCAACTCAGGCTGGAAGGAGGCCAGCAGGGGATGCTGGGGCGGGAGTAGGGGCAGCAGCTGGGCCACCGGGGTGGAGCAGTACTGACTTCAGGCCAAGCAGAAGCTACTGTCAGAAAGTGACAACCTTGCCACCTATCCCAAGCAGGCATCACTGCAAGGGGCCTGGGGCCTCGGGGGAGGGGGGTCCGGGGGGGCTGAGCAGCCCCGACCCCCTCTCCTGACTCGCACAATGCTGTCCAGCACAAGGCCACCAGGCTGAGCGTGGGCTTTGGGGTCAGCCCAGCCCAGGTGTGATTCTGCCTCTCCAACCTTCCCACCGCGACACTAGGGAGAGGTCACTCACTGGGGGCCCTCAGGGCCCTCATCCTCACAATGGGCCTGGAGACACCCCCAAGCAGGCTGGCTGGGTTTAAACAGGGCCAGGGCTAAGGTGAGGGGAGTGGGGTGCCCAGGGTGCAGAATTTAAGGGGCATTAACTTTCTGCCCAGCCAAGTGCGGACTGGCCTGTAGCACCTGGACTCTGTGAGGGTCTCCTTCAGTTCTGCAGCCTCAGAACCTCTCTCTTTCCTCAGCCCAGTCCTGGCCCTGGGTTGAAAAATCACATAACACCTGTACATACCACGTGGAAGGTTTCTAGAATTCATACTCCTTTCCTTACCTGCCAGGTAAACCCAGGAAGTAGGTACCTTGATCCAGGGCTGGCTGTACCCCAGTTTCTCAAACTGTAAAGAAACACAGCCTGAGATGAGACCACGTCCTTCAGGCTGTCCCCATCCCCCTCCCTCACCCATCCACCCAAGGGGGCTGAGCCCAAAGCCGGTCCCAACCCTGACACTGTCTTGATGGGAAACCGACCGCTTGACCTGGAAAACTCAAGTAGGAACTTAAAGCATGGGGTGGATTTAATTTGAGATCACATTGATTAATTGTCTACATCTGGCTGCCCAAGACGGGCCAAGGAAATTCTGTAGACTCTGATTTTTCTAGAATTGGGTTTTCTGTTCCTAAAGAAAGCCAGATGGCATATGCATGGAGGATGGTAGAGGAGGCTAAAGAGATGGGCTGGCACACGGTGCCCACTTGTATAAAAACTCTCCAGGTGAAAAAGACAGAAACAAGCTGGAGGAAACGGAGCCTTCGCACACTGCTGGTGAGAATGTAAACCGGTGCAGCTCTTTTGGAAAACGGTCTGGCGATTCCTCAAAAACTTGTACATGGAATCCCCATGTGACCCAACAAATCGACTCCTAGGTCTGTGCCCAAGAGAAGTGAGAGCGTGTGCCCATGTAAACACATGTACACACATGTTCCGGGCAGCGTCACACAATAGCCAAATGCAGAGAAACCCACCTTTCTACCAGCTGATGATAAACAAAGTGTGGCCTAGAATGGGCTATCTTTGGGCAATAAAAAGACCAAATACCGAGTTGACATGTGCTGCAGCACGGATGAAAACGTGGAACTAGGAAAGGAGCCAGAAACAAGGTCACACGACGTGCCCGGAACAGGCAGATCCACGAGACAGAGAGCAGAGCTTCTCAGTGAAGCGGGAAGCCTCCCGGGTCTGCTGTTTAGGGCCTGCTACTGCCCAGGGCCTGCTGCATGGGGGAGTCTGTTGCTTGGATCCCGCTGCTTGTGGGAGCAGAAAGTTCCCTCAGAGGGCTGCTTGTCCACAGTGCTAGTGTGGCGACCTTGACCCCTCCCCAAACTATAAAGAAGGCTTATGCTCTGATGGATGGGATGACAGGTTTCTCTTATGTCTGTGTAAAACCTGACCACTCCTGTAACTCGGGGCTCAGCCTTTTGGGGCCGATCCCAGATCCCCCTGAGCCCACCGGGGTGACAAGTAAATCTGTCTCCACCTCTCTGAGTGTCGTCTGATTTCTCTGGGAAATTGCTGTAACTGAAGGGCTGGAAGGTATAAACAGGAGCAACTGCTGATGGTTATTCTGGAGGAGGCTATTTTTTTGGATGATAACGATGTTCTAGACTTATTATATCCTTGAATTACGCCTAAATAGGTGAATTACGCAGGATATGAGTTACTGCAGTGAAGCTGCTAAGGTTGATGCTGGAGGGGCTGAAGTCCCCACCATGTGCCCCCCAGTACAGGGATTCTGGCCCACCCTGCCAGGGGCCTGGAACCCCAAGGGAGCCCGTGGGCCCCGGAGAGGACACAGCTCCAGGATGAACAGTCCAGATAAATCGGGAAGCAGGCTGGGAGGCATTATGGCAAACTGGGGAGACATGAACCCCCAGAGGGACAGCCAAGAACCTCCAGTCAGTTTCCACGTGGCCCAAGCACGCTGTGGCCAGAACAGGTTTTTCATGTGAAATCTTCCGATTTGGGGGAAGTCAGAAAGCGTAACAGAGAGGGTGGGGGCGGTGTCTGGGTGCCTACCAGCGGGGCCATCCACTCGAAGAGGTTGACGCTGTCCCCGTCGTTGATGTAGTATGCCTGTCCACTCTGGGGGGACACCAGGGAGAGTGACGGTCAGGCATGGGCCAGCAGACTAGCCCCGCCCTTCCAGATCACCCCCAGCAACTGCCCCACCACAGTTCTCGAAGAAATCACAACCCCGGTCCTTCAAAGGCCACCACCTTTGAAGCTTGGGGCCGCCACACTCACTAGCTGTGTGAGCTTGATGGAGTCACTTAACCTCTCTGTTTCTTTATCTGAGACATGGGAGCAAACTAATGGGATCTTCCTCTTGGGCTGCTGTCAAGTGTAATCGTGACAACATCTGCAACACCCTTAGCATGTGGTGACACTTACTCTGGAATCAACAACGCTACTTCACAGGGTGTTTGCAAGGAGCTTATGGGTCTCTGAACACCCTTCCTATTTCGCCCCCCACCCCAGCCAATCAGCTTCCTTGGGCAGACTGTCCTGCCAGCTATCTTGAGTTGGGGTGAACCAGGAATCCCCAGGAGAGGCACCCCACCTGCAGCCCCTGGGGTGCCACTCACAGCCACGTAGCCCTTTGCCGCGGTGAGGGCCTCAGCGGCCAGCACGTGAGCCTGCACCAGGTTGTGTACGTGCACCCAGTTCATCCGCGTCCTGTGGTCCCCAAATCGGAATATGAACAGCCTCTTCTTGATGTGGCTCTGGTGGCGGGGGAGGGGAGTGAGCCCAGGGCCAAGCCCAGCGGCTTAAGCTCTATCCATGCACTGACCCCTCCCAAAGTCCCAGCCCTGCGCCTTCCCCACAACTCCACCTGGGTGTCCCGGGACCACAAAAACTGCCAGAGTAAGCGCCTGATCCCACTCCCCTGCACCCTGCTCCCCCACTCCCCCACCTCAGTGGAGGTCGGGTTGAAACCTCAGGAGCCACCTCTGGCTGCCCTGGTCTCACTGCACAGTCCACCACTGTGGCCCAGCTGGCTCACCATCAAAACCTTCAGAGTCATCACTTCTTCCAGCTCCAGAGCGCTCTCCCCTGCCCCTGGGCAACCAAAACAGCCTCCTAACTGGTCCCTGCTTCTCCATCCCCCCACCAACCGTGGCCTGTTCTCCTCACCGCCTAGGGCATCCTCTTAGGCCCTGTGCCAGATCCTGGGTCTCCCCTGCCCAGAACTTTCGGGAAGGCCCATCCTGCCAGGTGGGAAGCTGGAGGCCTGCAATGGTCCTGAGGAGCTTCCCTGGGGCCACCTCCTGCTCACCATGATTACTCTCACAGGGACAGTGGCCGGACCCCTCCTTGGGCCCGGGATTAGCGGCTCCTCCGCCTGGAGAGCTCCAGACACTCAGTGACCTCCTTCAAGTCGTGGCCCTGTGTCCCCGCTCAGTGAGGTGGCCCCTGAACTGGCCTCCCAGCTCCCTCACCCTCCTTCACGTCTCCTTTTTCTCCAGAGGACCTGGCACCTTCGACTACTTACTGATCCCCGTATGAGAACATGAACCCCACGGGGTGGGAACTGTCTGCTTGTTCACTGATTTGCCCATACACCTTTACAGAGCTTTCTCATGTCCAGGGTTGTGCCCAAGCTGTCTCCTCTATCTGGATGCCCATCTCTCTGCCCTTTCCTTGAAAGTCTCTTTCTAAAGAGTAGAAACATCACTTCCTCCAGGAAGGCCCCCTGGATCTCCCCTGCCAGGCCCTCTCTTCAGGGCTCCCATCTTCCTGTTCTCCCCTCAACATCGCCCTCCCCACACTGAATCTGTACTGTGGTATCTGTGAAAAGACTGAGAACAGGGCCTGAGCCTCAACACCATGTTCCTGGTGCCTGGCCCTCTCTGGGGAGAGGCTTTCAGCCAGAAGACCTTGTGCTGGAGGTCTGCATCTGAGTAGGGGTGACAGGTCCCTGTGTGTTCTGTGGGGTCACATCTCCAGCCCCATGCCTAGGTCTGGCTGTTGTAAACGGAGAGCTCCGTGTCCGGTGCACCTCATGGGGGGTGGGGGGAGCAGGGGCATCTCCGAAACCGGGGTTCCTGGGCTGGGAGCACGGCCCCAAGACTGACTCCTGCTGAGCCACAGGCCCGGGCCGGGGTGACGTACCGCCACGCGGGGCAGGTGCCTCTGCTCTTCAGGGCCGTAGATCCCTGGAGGCCGGAGCACACACGTGCGGAGAGTTCCTCCTCCTAGGACACAGGGCGGGGTGGTCAGGGCCCTGGGAGGGGCGCACCGGCAGAGAAGGTGCAGAATGACTGGCCACAGCTCCTGCCCCTTACTCAGGCAGATCAGTGGGAAGACGAGGCCTTGGGGTTTCCTCGTTTAATTCGTTATTCTCAATTGCTCAGTTAGTTATTCAACAACTCCTCCACCACTGCTGGCCACTGGGCCCTGGGTGGGCTGCCGTGGTGAGCCCAAGTCTGCCCGAGAAAAGGTTGCCACGCTCACGACACTCGCCGGACACTCGGTAACAGGCCAGACCTTGATGCCAATGTCTGTGCGGCCTGTGAGGCTTCTTGGCACTAGCAGACCACTAGCAGACCGAGCTCTGTCCAGGCCCGAGCTCTGTCCGGGGCCGGGGTCCTACTGCACCCATCTCACGGAGGCGCCCACTCCCTGAGGCCAGCGGCTGCGCTTCCTTTCCTGACTGCTGGTAGCTCAGGACTCCGCGGAGTCAGGGCTGCTTCTCCTGCCTGGAGCTCAGGGGCCCGGGTGTCCCCTTCAGGGGTCTGGAAAAGGCGGAGCTGTCACCACCCCTGTTCTATGGATCACAGCACCCCGGCTCAGGGAGGGATGTGCTCCTGAGGGGCACGTGACCCGTGCAGTGGGGTGAGATGGGGGACCAGAGCCCAGACTCCCCTCACCCCCCGCCTCCTGGTGAGCCAAACACCAACGAATGGACCCTGGGCTTTCGGCTCCCTCAGCCATGGTCTCCTCACCTAGAACATCGCAGTGGTTACCAGTTACACTTTCCAGAACTCCAATGGAGAAAGGACTAGACCAGCTCAAAGGCTGGGGCCTGGCCTGCTCATTCTCACTGCTCTGTGCCAGCGGGTCCCCCATGACCACAGCATCACTTAGTGCAGGGGTCCCCGAGTTGTCTGCCGAGGGGTCCTCCTAGAGGAAGCGGTGACACGTCTCCCAGGCAGTCTGGGGGTACAGCCTAAAGGGCTGCCACATATGTATTTCTTTTAAGTCTTAAATAGCCCACACAACATCCGGTTTACTCCAACGATTCACTTGCATTTAAGATCTTTTAACAATTAAAAATTACTTTTGGGCCCTCCCTGGTGGCGCAGTGGGTTAAAGCACAGCACAAAGAAGCTAAAGCCACTTCCGCATGAGCTCGATCCCCGCCTGCCCTGGAGGAGACCACATGGTACAGCAGACCTCTCCTGACCCGCCCGCTGCTCCCCTCAGCAGTGTACTTCCTCCATCTGTCTGTTCTGCTCCCCACTCTGTCTCTGGTGAATCCTCTCACCCTCCGCATCTCTGGCCTGTACCCCAGTTCTGTATGAATAAATAAATAAATCTTTAAAAAAAATTACTTTTGGTAAATTACTAGGCTTCTCCCGGAAGATGTCCAACCCACCTTCTGAACTCAGGGTCCCAGGGGGCCTGCACCCCAACTTGGGAAGCCCAAATTGGCCACCCGCTGAGACCAGAAGGCCCCTTCCTTTGGGGCCCCGCCACTTCTGCAGGGCTGGGGCTCTCAGCCTCAATGTGCTGCTCTCCCCTGACCAGGTATGCCAGTGGGCCAAGGACAAGTTGTGCCCCAGAGTGGCACCACTGAGGCCGGCCCCTGCCTCCCAGAAGTGGCCCCATTCTAAGGACAGTGACAGCAGCGGCTCCCCCCACCTGTCCTTGCCAAGGTCTGCGGGTCAGAAGTTACTCCCTATCCTTCCAGTGTGAGAGCGCTTCCCCCATCAAATAGCCAGGATCAGGGGCCCTGGGCCATCATCAAACACCCTGCTCCCTTTCCAGCACCCTCACTTTACAATGACGCCTCGTCATTGGGTTGAGCGGCAGCCCCCCCAAAAAGATGTGCCCACATCCTGGAGCATGTGGCTATGACCTTCTATGGAAAAGGGTCTTTTTTTTTTTTTTTTTGGAAAGGGGTCTTTGCAGATGTAATTAAGGAGCTCAAAACGAAGTCATTCTGGCTGAAGGGGTGGGCCCTGAATCCAAGGGGCGGGTCTAGCATCCTCCTAAGAGACTCACAGAGGAGAAGGTCATGTAAAGTCAGAGGCAGAAATTGGAGCGATCAGCCATGCACCCAAAGAAACAAGGAAGGGTCCTCCCCAGGCCTGGGAGGCAGAGCGGCCGGCCCACACTACCCTTCAGACCTCGGCTGCACAGCTGAAGGCACACGCTTGTGTGACCTCTTAACCAGGTGGTTTTAAGCCCCAGGACATGAAATCCACCCCCAGGCAGGAGGACACAGATGCATCCACAGACAGGGACCTGCATGGTCAGGGCTCTGCTCCAGGACCCAGGTTAGGGGCAAAGTCCTAGACACCAGGAGGGGAAATCCCCCAGGGCTGGGCTCCTGGAAGGCAGCTATCAGGTGAGCTATTCTGGAAACAGCCTGCTGCTATTTTTAACTTCTCAGTCACCTGGGCATGGTGGGGGTGGTCAGGTTGCAACTGATGTGGCCGTGGGGCACAGGGCCCTGAGGGCCGGGCCAGGGTATCCATGACTCTCCTGCCCACAGAAAGCAGGGGGTTCTTGTATAAATAATTCTGGGCAAGAGGATTAGGTGTCTGGTTTGCAGGCTGCTGGGTCCGCTGGGGAGGCCCCAGGGAGAGAACAGGATTGCACTGCACAGGTCAACCCCCTCGGACACCCTGCTGGGACCATAGGCCCAGACCTGGCAGGCCCAGGGTGACTGGGTGGGGTGGGGTGGGATTTTAGGGAAAAGGCTCTTCAGGGGTCTCTGAACTTGGAGTCCCGCGTAGCTGTGGCCAGGCTCTGGGTTAGCCCCTCTCCCGTTGGTGTTCAAATCCCACCTCTGATGCCTAATGGCTATGTGACCTGGAGCTAAGTCTGTCAGCCTCTCAACCTCATTTTTCTTCCCCGTCAATTCGAGGATTATAACTTCAAGCCTCCTTTGCTTTCCAAATCCACATGGCTCCTGAGTTTAGACAGCAAAGGGAACCAAGTTTCCTTATTCTTTTTGACTTCTAAGTTTCTCAGAACCAACAGTGATAATCTGGACAGCAAGGGATTTATCTGGATCAGGCTCCTGAGTTTGCAGAGCAAGGGATGCCCAAGGTTCTTATCTCAAGTGGATGCAGTGAAGTCGTTGAGACTTTTGCATAGAAAGTTAGCTTGTGGGTCTCCCTCATGGCACAAGGGGTTAAGCGCAGCCCTGTGAAGCTGTCTGCAGCCACTACAGCACTGAGTTCGATCCCCGGCCAGGGAGCTGACCCACATGGCGCAGCAGACCTCTGCTGTCTCCCCACTGCTCCCCTCAGCACTCTGTGTCTGGTGAGTCCTCTTACCCCCTGCACCTCAGGCCTGTACCCCAGTTCTTGAGATAGAGCCAAGGGGTGGTGGAGCTGGGACTCGGAGCTCCTCAGCCTGAGACCACTGTGTGGGCACTTAGCCACGGTGCCACTTGCCCATATGCTACCACCACTCCTCTGGCAACCCAGGCTGACTTCTGGGAGTCACTGATGGCTAAGCTGGCAAGGCCCTGTCAAAGAGCAAGTCCCATTCCTTACTCCAAATTTCCTACTCTTATCCCAAATGAGTCCCTAAGACAGGATCCAACTGCGTGGCAGAAAGGAGCTTGAGACTAGGGCTGACCCACGTCTTTCCCACCAGACCCTGAGCAACATGAGGCCAGAAGCTGGGCCTGTTTCACCCCGGTGGGTGGGGGCCATAGCAAGTGCTCAAAACTGCACCTGGGGAGGTGCCCCTGGGGGGAAGGTGGGCACCAGAAACATTGGCAGCTAAAGGCAAACTCACACAGCAGTGGGGGAGGGGTACCGGGTTGCACAGTGCCCACCTGGGAGAGGCGTCCCATTGGCCATGAGGGTCAGCTGGTCGGCGATGGCTTTGGTTCGGGAGTAGTGGTCCATGTGCTGCCAGTGCCAGGGAGAACCCACCAGGTGGGGTCAGGGGCCGGCCCCAGGTCGCACTTCACTTTCAAGAGGTGCGGGGGTGGGGGGG